TGAGCGGGGTTTTTGCCAAGGGGCCATCCATTTCGCCACTCATGACACGATTCTGCTCCGGGATTGAATCCTTCACAGATGATCATGAGAAATTCCAATCATTCTTGCGCGATCAATGTATCGAGAAGGCTGCGGGCGCTTGTGGACTTCAGCTACGGAAAATCAATCGGATCCATCCAAAGGTCAGTTTCCCTCGAGCAGACTACAGTTTATCACTCACTAGTTACACTAGCGAGCTGGTGCAGCTTTGTCGGCTTCGTGTTTGACAATACCTGACGGATTGACGACCTCAGAGTATTACAATACATGTGAGTGCCGTGCGTCGTACACTTTCTCTCCATATTAACCGCAGTGGGATTTGGCTCTCAGTCTTCATTGGAGGATCTCAACCAACAACGCGTTTTGTCGAGTTTGAAGCGCGCCATTAAAATTTCTTGTCACTTTCTTATCGATTTATAACGCGTCACAGGCCTGGTAAGTATCAATAACCTTTTGATGATTACTTGCACGAGTTTCGACAACCTGAGTTCAGATCGCCGTAGTTGCTATAGCTTTTTTTTTGGAGACTTGAAATCCCGAACCTCAGTAATTTGCTAATTGTTGCAACCTATTTCAAACCTACATATAACGTTTTTGAGCCAATAACAATGTACTTTTTGTCATCACGGACCTGGGCTGCTTGTTAAATTCGGGGTTAAAGAGGGCTTGTAGCTGAAGGGCGTTGGAATGTCGGACGAAAGAAAGCTATTCGATACGACCATCCAGATCCTTTTGTTTCATCAATATCTATTTTGATTTTCGTAGTGACATTGGATGACAGCTTGTGTACGCTCGACGGTGGTATAATAGCGGCAACGTCCGTGGGTCATCTTCATCTACATCCCTCAAGTCCAACGTCTCCACTCGCAACACTCGGGCTATAAATAGTTCGGAAACTAAGGCGCTTCCTGGACTTGAAATATGAGCCTCGCAACAGCCTTTGCTCCCCGACAAGTACTCGAGGTCATGCAGTGGTATAGGCTTCGACACCAGCTGGCAGGAGAACGAACCGAGCGTCCCATCTAAAAGCGGGTGCCCCTCTTCCGTTAGGGAATGGGAGATGGAGGAAAAGGGATTCGGGTAGAGGTCGGCGCGAGAGAATTTGACAGCAACATCTTCCTGCTCTGCGGATAGCAAGTTAACGACCATATGTGACGACTCTTCTAATCGCGCATTTGTAAGGATATTTGCCATTCGAGATGGCACGCGAAGGGCAAACGAGATGAGTGGGTATGGGTGCATGGCGATGGACGTGAAGGAAGAGAGAGTCGCGCCGTGGTATGGATTGGGAGAGGAGTTCGAGGGGAATTTAGCAGTGACTACCGCGACAGGCTGAGCTGTGTGGCGTAGTAGTTCTCGAAGGCGGTCTTGGGTATGCTTTGCATGGCGCAGGTCCGTCGCGAATCCACGGAGAAATTTCGATGTCGCGGTTCTGGACATTTGATTATTTGTCTCTGGTTGACAAATCCTTCTACAACGGCATCGTCCCATGCCGAGATGATGCCGATCTCTTCTTGTACGTACTCGACAACCTCTGTTGACAGACGATTCAGGCTCAAACGAGCTCAAACAATTCCATTTGTGAGCCCAGCGGTTCCCAGCGAGCTGGCGGGGTGCAGAGAAAGTGGCGCCATGCCTTTCAAATTGGCTTTTACCCTATGATTATCAGGGTATCTATTCTGTTATCTCCATGTGAACAATTTTGTATTTATATATTGTACTTCAGCGTGCACTAGTCCTTTCAACAACCTCCAAGTGGAGGTCCACACATTTCTGTCGGGTAATTGTCTTCGCAAACGTTTCGTTACATACACAGGCGTCGGCGATCGTCCGTCGCTATCGGGAGGGGTAACGCCGGCTTCACTCGCCAATTGTTTTGCTCAGTAAATCCCATCGTCTCCGCTCGGTTCTGCAAGACTGATCGAACTAAAGCGAGTCACTGAGTCCATTGGAGTCATCTGCATCCCGCCTTCGGCCGTTTAGACAATAATTTGACCACCAACACTGGGCTCGAGACGGGGTCGCGGAGTTTCAGGATTTGGTCCCGCGCTCGGGCCGGCGTTCTTCTTTGTACCATGATCAATCATCCAAGAGGCAGCTTTATCATTTTACACCCCCTCTTAAAAAGCATGGTGCTATTTCTGTTCCTTACCATTCACTTATAGCCCTGTTCGAGTGGTGCGCTCGGTCTCCCCTAGCTTTCGCCCTATCCTTTAAGTTATGTCGGCAGGTGCTGCGAGGACCGACGGCGACGTCGAAAGATCTTACGCACCAAAAGACCAGCCGAACCTGGATGCTAGCCGTCCATCGAGCAAGGGTTCTTTGGGTGCTTCCAAAGAGAAGGATTTCGATATGAACGAAACAATTTATGCAAGTCTTCCTTTTTCAAATATATTTCCTTGGGAGTCTCTGACCAGAGAATTTAGATCGAATTCGAGGAAGGCGACCCACGCAACCCAATCAACTTCAGCCTTCGAAGGAAATGGGCAATAACGATCGTGGCGTCGATAAGCACTTTCTTCGCTTGTACGTTATTGCCTTGCCCCACATTCGTCTCGCCGTGAAAAGTATTCACGCAACCCACAGCCTCTGTTTCCGCCGCATACAATATGGGCTTCGACTCCATGACACGGGATCTGAACTGTACCTCATTTCAAGCGACAATTGGCCTTAGCGTCTACGCTCTGGGCTTCGGCATAGTTCCACTTGTGTCTGCGTCGTTCAGCGAGGAGTTTGGGAGACGGCCGCTATACCTCGGCTCGACATTTGGGTTCCTTCTCATGTTTATGATGATTGCCTTGTACGATCCTTCCATCCTCCTCTGTTCAAAAGCTGACGGGTCAACAGGTCCAAAAATATTCAAACAGTTCTTATTGCACGTTTCATTCAAGGAGCTGTTGGATCGACTGGTTCGACCATGGTGGGCGGGACCATTGCTGATATCTGGAGTTCCCGCGAGTGAGAACTTTTTATTTTTGGGTTCATGATGTTACAGGAGACTCATGATCTCCGCCCGTCAGCCGAGGCTTGCCTATGTCGATTTTCGCCCTTGCTGCACTTGGTGGAACTGGCATAGGCCCATTGATCGCTGGCTGGATAGAAATGAACCCTCGCTTGGAGTGGAGATGGATTCAATGGATACAGATGATGTACGTCCCTCTAAGTCCCCTCTTTAACTCGTTGTTAACCTTGGCACAGTATTTTTGGCGCATACTTCATCACGATTCCATTGGTGTTGACTGAAACGCGTTCGGCCATTTTGCTCACCCGATTGGCAAAGAAGATGCGCAAGGAGACGGGAAATAATCGATATCGTGCACGAGTTGAAGACCAGCGTCCTAGTCTCAAGCATCTGATCTTTATATCGTGCACAAGGCCAGTCTGTACGTAACTTTCATATCTTTGTCTATTGGGGCTGCCTCTAAACTGCTTCGTTACAGTGTTAATGTTGACGGAGCCTATTGTGCTTGCGTTCAGCGTGCGTTAACCTCTGCCTCACATCTTTATGTGATTCTGAAGCTCCGATTTACAGTTATGGATTGGATTTGCTTGGGGTGTGATGTTCGGCTTCATTGAGTAAGTGTCATATGACTCCCATTACGTGACATCGCTGAGAACAGTACAGGTCCATCGCAGGCGACTTCGAGACGCTCCATGGGTTCAACATTGGCCAAGTCGGAACTCTTTTTGTCACCATGACGTGCGTCGATCCACCGTGGAAATAAAATTTGTGCTCACCTCTCAATAGGATCGGCTCCATCATAGGCTTCGCCTGTAACCTCTACCAAGAAAAATTATACAAGTATGTACACACTCTCCCTTCATATTTCCTTGCTCCTGACATTTTTCTGCAGAAAAGATGTTGAAAAGCGTGGGCCTGAGGCTCGCCTCCATACAGCGTGTTTCGCTGCTATTATGCTACCAGTTGGCATGTTTATTTATGCCTGGACGGGTTACACACGTATCTCCTGGGTCGGACAGGCCATAGGAATAATTGTAAGCCCCACAGTACGCCTAACGTTGATGCTGCGATTCTGATGCAATTTCCGATAGGTTTATTTCTGGGCTATTTTCAACATTTACTTGGCAGTTTTCTCTTACCTAGCAGATTGGTCCGTCTTTCATTGTTATTCGTTCGCTCGTGGTCGTGCTCATCCTCATCTTCGTCCAGCTATGGTCCTTACGCCTCGTCTGCTCTTGCAGGCCAAAGTCTCGCTCGAAATCTCATGGCAACCGCGTTCCCGCTGTTCTCTCAACAGATGTTCCATAACCTCGGATACAGATGGGCCAATACCCTTTTTGCATGTCTTGCAGTGGTCATGATACCCATACCCTTCGTAAGTCGCAAGTTATGAATGCGTGCATGACCTCTCAGTGACGAACGAATCTTCCGCCAGGCGCTCTTTTTCTATGGATCCAGGATTCGCAGACATAGCAGGTTCTCCAAGATGGTTATGGAGGCGCAGGAAGCACAGGAGGCGAAGGAGGCAAAATGAGCTCTATAGAGGCTCGAGATTGAGGATTTCTTCCTTCGCGAATGGTTGCACATTTTGCGTACCAAGTGTACCGCGCAGCGTCGGTACTATTTTTGCTCCTCTGGCGGAATAAGCTCCATGATGCCTATCTGAGGACATAGGGGCATTTGAAGCTTTTAACACTTACTGTATGCGCTGCTACTACTTATGCGCTAATTTTATAATGTCGCCGATGTGACAACGTACTGTTGGATGAGCTTGTTTTTTGCATATCTATGTACCGTTTTAGCAAGCCATGCGAATTAATTTATGTTATCTAAGGAAGAGCTGGTTCACAGGCGATCAAGCCTCGCAAAACTACAAAATTAAGCACAACATCCTCGCCAATTCCGTTGCATGTTAGCGTCAACGATCGATGTAAGACTGGGATTCTTAGCTAGGTTCCTAGGGTGAGAAAATAATGAGAAAAACTCCGAATAGAACACTAGCCCACCGCGAGGGTCGAACTCGCAGCCTTCAGATTTGCCTGGAAGGTGAGACCCGCCTTAAAAGTCTGACGCTCTGGCCGATTGAGCTAGGCGGGCTTGCAACAAAGTCGCCTAATAGACATTATATCAGGAGGTAATGGAGAAATGCATTTTGAGCGCTTAATCAACCATTCTTCCTCCCGCCATCAGTAAGCTGTTCCTGACTTGCGTCTGGTCTGGCTGTAAGTGCCAGAAATTCCACCAATCGTTTGCTTCTTACATGGTCTCTTGATGCCGACAGAAACGAAACGGAACTCTCAGGATGATCAGGTATGTGTGTTGGTTGAGAGGAGGCCAATGTTCAAACGTATTATTCAGATAGAATACCTCGAATCTCAGGTCGAGGCGTACAAAGCTCGAGTCTCTACTCTTCAACAAAAACATCTTTCTGCGCTCGATGCCTTAGATGAAGTGCTACAGAGCCACAAGCAGGAGTTGGATCAGGAACGTACTGCGAGGATGGTAGCAGAGTCCAGGCTTCAAAAATGCAAAAGCAGGGTAATAGAAGCTGAGAATGAAAGGGACGAGAGCAAGGCAGCTGTTCTTGAGCTCATCAACCAAGGTCCGTTTCCACTGGTTTCTGTTTTGAGGATGAGCTTGATTTTATAGGACTAGTTGAACGGACTCGCGGCGACCTCAAACATTGGCCCCGTAGCACGCTTAGCCTCTCTGCCAATCTGGGTGGGTAACTCCACCAATCTATTGTAGTGCTTCCTTCTGAATTGCCCAGATCCGCTCGAACCTCCCACCATAGACAATATCGCGGACCAGTCTCTTCACGACGCAGGACAAGACACATTGCGCATCGGCGCCCTTGTCGACCGTCTGAAGCGCGAACTTTCCTTTGAACGCCAGACTCACGCTCAGACACGCGCCCACGTGAACGTTCTCGCTGCTCAAGTCGCCAATCGTGATGCTGCCTTGGAACGATGGGCACAGCATGCGACAACTGCTCCAATTCTGCCTGCATCCGTCTCAAACATACACGATGCTCGTCCCGGCAGATCCAAAAAAGTTCATCATCAAAACCACCGTGACTTAGATCGTGGAGAAATGTTAACACTTTTTGAAGAGATGGTTGCACATAACAAATCTTTGGAGAGGGAGGTCCTGATGCTCTCAGAAACAGTATGTTTTGGTACTCTATTCCAAACGCCTACTCAGTTCTCTTAGGTAGACCATAC